TATTTTTTTTTTTTTTTTTTTTTTTTTTTTTCCTTGCACAAGCATTTTGGAAAACATTTTGACCCATGAAGGAAAACGATGTCTGATTTTCTTCAGGTATTTTGAGCTGCGGGGGCAGAAAGGCACAGAGTAACCCTGCTGGATATAGTTTTTCACATGTAGATTTTAATGATTTAGAGAAACTCCATAATTTATGTATCAGGAACTTCATTCTTCTAGGAGCCAGCCACAACTTCAGAGGAACCAGGAGGACAGTTGTAATGCAAAGACAGTAACCAGCACAAATGTTTCTCTCCCTGGTGACTATTTAATGGACACTTGGGAGATTAAGAAATAGCTCCTCACCTCCTTAGGAGGTGGGGATGTGTGAGGACCCCCATGGGCTCACTCTCTAATACAAACACCCACAGGTGTACACACAGACACACACACACACGCATGTGTGCAATTGCACACACAGTTACAAACACATGTGAGCGCACAGACAGAGCATGTTTCTAAGACTATGTCAAAGAAACTCCACAAGTTTCTCCGGAAACTTCTACTGGACACTGTCACTGCTTATGCACTCCCAGCCCCTTATGCTGGTGGTCACTCCCACCGAGATGGGAACTAGCCGCCCATAGAGTCTAGAATAGGCCCTCATTGGGCCATGACTTCATCTGTCTGGAAGGTTCTGCCTCCACTTTCCAAAAGCACATTCTAAATGTCAAGATTCACGTGTGAGGACCTGCGCTGATCTTTGTAAGCTGACTCGCAATGGACAAACCACGAGCAAGATTTAAATGATACTCCGTCCTGCAAAGGCTTCCCCGAGCTTAAGTGAGGGGCCGGCCAGTCATTCTCATTATTAGGGTGCAGGGAGACTAGGTAGCTCAAGGCCTCAGACTATAATAGATGGAAAGAAAAGAGACCGCTGGTGCAAGAAGGGAATAAACAAGAAAGAATGAATTATTATTAAATGGAAGACCCGCAGGTGGAGAGACAGGGGTTAGGCTGCTGCTGGGATCCACTCTTTTTCAACGGTCAGCTCCTCACAAGTTCCGCTGGGGGGGAGCACCCCAAGCCAGGTGACCCTCCCTCAGAAAGGCACCCCCGGACTGTGGCCCTAGGTGTCAACTTCCTGATCCTTACCTGGTCCATGATCTCGTGATACCTTCCAATACCCCTTGTCTCTGAATTATTATGTTCCTAACCTTGGCTTGATTTTTTTTTTTTTAAGATTTTCTTTATTTATTTGAGAGAGAGCGAGAGCGAGAGAGAGAGAGAGAGAGAGAGAGCATGAGCAGGGGGAGCTGCAGAGGGAGATGGAGAAGCAGGCTTCCCACTGAGCAGGGAGCCCAACATGGGGCTTGATCCCAGGACCCTGAGATCACTACTCAAGCGGAAAGCAGATGCTCAACCAACTGAGCCACCCAGTTACCCCTTGGCTTGAGTTTTACAAAAACTCTTTTAGGAACCTGTTACATGCCGAGTGCTGTGTGCTGATTACATGGCCGCAGACTCTGAATGGCTGGCTTCCTTCTCCTGGCCTAGACTGGTTCCCAGGATCTTATACAAGTAAGCCTTAGGCTTGGTAAGGGATTATAGGTGTCACCCCCACATTCCATCAGTCCAGTAAGATCTAAATCAGCAGCAGCATGGCCTGGGCCCCTACTCCAAGCTGGACAAGCTTTATACAGCAAGCAGCAGGAAGTGCAGAAAACAAATACAGGGCAAACCCTAGATACCTAATCCCAGCGCGTCACCTGGCTGAACTTTGGCAGCAGAACCCAAGGAACACAGGTGTGTGGTTTTGCATATACAGACATTGCCCTGTGGTCTAAAGGACATGTCTTCGTGGCAGATGGGAACTGAAGTGGATATCATCCTAATTACCCTGCCTGCTTCTGTAAGTTTAAGTTCTGTAAGTTTCTGCACCTTTTGATATCACAGCTAAATGCTGATCAAAGGCTAGTTTTCGCTGGCACTGTGGGCAAATCTGGCATTCCCTTGTCCATGAAGCAAGTCCTGCCTATAGGTGGCAAATTCGTATTTTAAATACTTTCCTCACCGATTTCAGGGAAATTTTTAAAGAAGCTTCCTCCAGGTGGTAAAAATAACTGCATGTTGGGATAGGCATATTTCTAAGCATGATGTTTATGTCTTATGGCAAACCATGTGGATGCTGATTCCGCCTCTCAGCCCGATCGTGAGCTGCACACAGTAAGCAGCCACCGCGGGCTCCCACGGGGGAGGGAGGCAGGCGGATGGAAAGGCACAACCCCTCCCAGGTGCAGGGCCTGGGAAGGCCTGGGTCACCTAAAAAGCCAATTCCTTCTTGGAGGGCAGCACTCTGGGGCCCAGCCTTGCCCCGGGAAAACCTTTCAGTTCCCCGCGCATTTGGGAGTGTCCCGACTCTCCCACCCTCCGCTCCCAAACTCCAACGAGCCGGGCCTCTCCCCGGGTTTGGGATACCTCCTGCAGCCCTCCTCCTCCCTCCGGCCTCGAGAGGGACCGAGTCCCCCATCGGTCCCCCACCTGGCTCCCTCCGTTCCTTCCTCCCTCCCTCCTGGCCTCCTCGTCTTGCACCTGTGCCCCCACTGATCTTTGGCAGGTCGCCCTCCTGCCTCTTGTGCCCCCATTCAAGCCTCCTCCTGCCCCCACCTCCCTCCTTCGCTCGCAAGCCGGTTCAGGGAGCCGTGACAACAGCTCCCCGGACGGCGGCGCGGGCCCCTTACCCGGGCGCGGCAGGCCTGCAGTGGCCGGGTGGCCGTCGGACGGCGGGGAAGTACCCGCGGCCCGGCGTGGAGACGTGGCCTGCAGCGGAGCAGAGCACACCAGCCAAGACTGCTCAAGGCAGCCGCCCCAGCTCGGGCCCCGCCCGGACCGCCCCGGAACTGACGTCACCGGAGGCGGGCCCTAGTGGGCGGGGAAGCTCCGCACGGAGCAGGGAGGGGCCCGCGGTGCCAGGAGCCGCCGAGAGGGAGCCGGAAGCGGGGGGGGGCGTGGCCGTCCCCAGGCTCCGCCCACCGCGGGGCTCGCTGGACTCCGTCGAGCTCGTGGCCGGAAACGGTCGGGAGCTGCGGTTTCGGACCTGCGTGCGGCGGAAATGGTGGTGCTCCGCCTCAGCAGCTGGCCTGTGGGAGCTCGGACGTACCCCGACAGCGCGCAGGGCCCCGAGCCCTGGGGTGGCCCACAGTGCCGCCCTCCTCCCTTCCACTTGGCCCAGCCCCTGGAATCATGGGGGTGGGGGCCCCGCGCGGGCTTCCGTGCCTGACCTGCAGGTTCAGTGCGACAGCTCTGTGGGGGCTTTGTGCCTCTTTCACAGATGCAAAGCGGAGACTCAGTGTCCAGCAACTGTGAGACGCCGGGTAACAACGGGGCCGCGTGGAGCGCAAGGGAACGCGTGTAGGACTTGACCTAGAAGTAGGCTTTGCGAATGACTAGTTGTGTGACCGAACCCCGCTCTGTGTAAAGCTCCCTCGGGACCCCCAAGTCCGAAGGCAGCCTGTCTGCGAAGGCTGGTCTCCTGGGAATAAGCCAAAGGCTTTATTTTCAGACCGCCGTGTAGCCTGTCCTGGGGTCCTGGGCTGAGAGACGAAGCCAGACGGTGTGCGAAGAGGAGGTCACCTCCCTGCTCTGAGCTCTGGGGGCGCCTGAAAGGCAGTTGAGAGCTGCCAACCCCAGTTCGACCTCCTCGAACTTTCAAGTTTCAAGTTGTGTAGATCTACACTGCGCACGCGGGTTTGCCGGGACCCAGGCCAGTTGGGAGGGTTTGCGAAGACAAGATGCTTCCGCTTTGAGTTTGCTCTGATTTCCCCAACTCGCTCAGATCCAACAAGGGCAGCATCTGTGTTCAGAAGAAAATATACCCAATGGCCAGTTGTAGTTCTGCGCCTGACTTCCTCAAAAATCAGTATCTGTGGCTGTTTTCCTCTTCGGTAAAATCAGGACAATTTTTACTGCTGAGGCTGAAATTAAAAAGGTAAAGACACACGCCTCCTTGAAGACCTCCTAGTCTAGGGAACGGTCTGTTGGCCCTCTGTCTGCTCTTGTAAGTAAACTTTTATTGGGACACGGTTACACCTTTTATATATTGTCTAGGCTTTTGCACTGCAAGGACAGAGTTGAATAATTGCAGGAAAAACTATATGACCCACGACACCTGAAATACTTACTGCCTGGTCCTTTACAGAAAATACAGCCCAAGGTGTTACTAGGAAATGGTTTTCAGAGGACAGTGGTACTATGTCGCCATGGTGGTCCAGAAGACAGGGAAATTCATTCTCTTGTAGAGGAATCTTGCACCTTTCCAGTGGATTGGGCTTACCTGGACCCTCGTGGCGAGCATAGCTCTGGGAACTGCGTAGCTGCTTCTGCAGAGTATTATGAAGAGTAGAGCAGGGCTCTGCGCTGCTGTTGGTGGTAGTGGATTACGTTAAGTGAAGGCTTTTCTCTCAGGGTACAGATTATCTCAAGTGCTTTCTATGCAAACGAGTTTAATAATAAACTCAGAGCCCAGTGCTCTTGGTTGTTGAATTACGTTATTATTTGAATCTACTCCATGCTCTGGAGTAACCCTGCCTGGCTTCAAACTCCAGCTCCACTTTTTAGCTTGGTGACAGTGAGCGAGAGGCTTAGTCTTTCAGTTTTATCGCTACTCATGGTAGTCCTGTTCAGCCAGGTTTCCATGAAGACCGAATTAGTGAATTCTGAACCATCACTCCTAGGGGAAAAAACATGGGCAAAAATTTCCCTTCATGCTCAGCCCTTCATTGTCATTTTTAATCGAAGCTTCCTTTTTACTCCATAAACAGAAAATTAAGGACATAAAAATTATGAGAATTTGTAGAAGAAAGATCAGTAATGATGAGGATAGAAATATGATTCTGTATGCATTATTGGGCTGCTGTTCCTGACCCATCACTTATAGTGTTCAGAAATATTAAGTTTGGGGGCTCAGTGGGTTAAGCCTCTGCCTTCAGCTCTGGTCATGATCTCAGGGTCCTGGGATCAAGCCCCACATCAGGCTCTCTGCTCGGTGGGGAGCCTGCTTCCCCCTCTCTCTCTGCCTGCCTCTCTGTCTGCTTGTGATCTCTCTCTTTCTGTCAAATAAATAAATAAAATCTTTTAAAAAAATACTAAGCTTGGCAATCTCCTAGCTAATTACCCAAAGGAAGTGAAAACATATGCACCCACAAACACCTGCATGAAAATGTCTACAGCAACTTTATTCACAATCGCCAAAAGCTGGAAACACTCAAATGACAATCAGTGGGTGAGAGGATATAACATTTCAGTACATCTATATAATAGACTACTACTCAGTCATAGAAAGCAGAATTACTGATAACAGTCACCAACACTGAAGAATCTCAAAAGCATTATGCTAAGAGAAACCAACCAGAGAAAAGAAACTATTGTTGAGGAAGGTCATTGAGAGGACGTGACCTCCGGTTGAACTGTGAGCTGGAGCCGGGCACTCAGAGGCTACTCAGCTTCTGTCCTTGGAATGTGGGTTCTGCTTGCCTTTTCCTCTCCCAGAGGCTGCTGCAAGGATACAGGCTTGAGATAGTGACGTGATGTTGAGAACACCTGCACGTTGTATGGTCCTGAACCTGGTTAAGATCTCTCTCTCTCTAAACTTCCAAGATTCAACAGCTGGTGTAGGGATTCACTCACATTGTGGCCACTCCAGACGAGCCTCATACGTAAGTTGCCTTCACTTATTAAAACTGCCACCTACCAACTCAGAGTGGTCTTTCTCTTTCTTTGGTCTCTTCCTCCCCTCTGCATTTTGGGGCCAATTTCAGATTATACACGGGAAGCTCCCAAAGAAGTTACAAACCAACATCTACATACAGTGATTCCATGTATATGACATTCATGAAAAGACAGAAGTATAGAGACAGGAATCGGTAGTCACCAGGGGATAGGAGAGGGAACAGGAATTGGCTTTGACTTGCCAAATAAATCATAGGCTGCCCAGCTAGATTTGCTAAATCTGGCAACTCTAGATTGACTAGGAAGGAGCCTAAGAGAATTTTGGGGGGATGACGGAGGTATTCTGTATCTTGATTGTGGTGACAGTAGCAGGACTGAATACATTTCTTACAAGTCATGAAAATGTGAATTTTACTGAATGTAAACTATGCCTTAATACATTTAACTGAAAAAACAAATGTTCTGCTGTAAAGAAAGGCGAAAATTAAAGGATAGTTACATGAGCGTGTGTGTGTGTATAAGGAAAAATGAACACTTAAAATGGATGCATTTTGTTGCATATAAATTACCCCAATAAGTTTGGTTTTTTAAAAGTTACACTAGGGATAAAAAGAGTGTCACTTCGTGGGTGCCTGGGTAGCTCGGTTGGTTAAACATCTGCCTTCAGCTCAGGTCATGATATTAGGGTCCTGGGAACCAGCCCTGCTTGGACTCCCTGCTCAGTGGGGAGCCTGCTTCTCTCTCCCTCTGCCCTTCCCCCCTGCTTGTGTGCTCTTTCTCTCTCTCTCAAATAAATACCTAAAATCTTTGAAAAAAAGTGTCACTTCAAAAAAATTTTTTTAAAGATTTTATGTATTTATTTGACAGAGAAAGAGAGAGACAGCAAGAGAGGGAACACAAGCAGGGGGAGTGGGAGAGGGAGAAGTAGTTTTCCCACTGAGCTGGGAGCCTGATGCGGGGCTTGATCCCGGTACCCTGGGATCACGACCTGAGCCGAAGACAGACGCTTAACCTACTGAGCCACCCAGCTCCCCCATAAGGTTGTTTTTTTTTTTTTTGAAGACAAGCTTTCATTATTTACATGAGATATAATTAACTACAAATGTCTAAAAGAGTCAACTTAAAAGTCAATTAAAAGGGGCGCCTGGGTGGCTCAGTGGGGTACAGCCTCTGCCTTTGGCTTGGGTCATGATCTCGGGGTCCTGGGATCGAGCCCCACATCGGGCTCTCTGCTCAGCGGGGAGCCTACTTCCCTTCCTCTCTCTCTGCCTACTTGTGATCTCTGTCAGATAAATAAGTAAAATCTTTAAAAAAAAAAGTCAATTAAAAGCTATAAGAACAAAAGAAAAATTTGTAAGAACAAGTCAATCATCTGTCTGGATGCAAAATAAATACACGTCAGTAGATTTCTTGTATACCAACAGTAACAAGCTAAAACATTTTTTATAATTAATTAATTAATTAAAAGTAGGCTCCACACCCAATGGTGGGGCTTGAACTCACGACGCCAAAATCAAGAGTCACATGCTTTACCCACTGAGCCAGCCAGGCGCTCTTAAAAAAATTTTAACATCAGTTACTCTGATAACAAAATTATAAAATACCTAGGGATACATTAGTAGAAACATTCAGGATTTACACAGGCTTTCTGATTTGCTTTATATGGAGAACTTAAAAATAAACTTGAATAAGCGAAGAGGTACATCATGTTTCTGGACTGAAAAATGAAATCTCATAAGATGTCAATTTTCCCAAGTTAATCCACAGGTTCAATGAAATTCTTTTTTTTTTTTAAATTTTTTTTTTTTTTTTTTTTTTTCCCGAGAGAGAGAGAGAGAGGTGTCACAAGTAGGCAGGGAGGGAGGCAGAGGGAGAGGGGGAAGCAGGCTCCCTGCTGAGCAGAGAGCCCGATGGGGGGCTTGATCCCAGGACCCTGAGACTGTGACCTGAGCCGAAAGAAGGGGCTTAACCCACTGAACCACCCAGGTGCCCAGGTTTAAAGCAATTCTTTAAAACAAAACAAAAAGAAAACAAAAAAAACCCTCAAATCCTCATTTTGTACTCTTTTGGAACTTGAGAAAATAATTCTCACGTTTGGGCAGCCTACTGGCTCAGTCAATAGAGCACGTGACTCTGGATGTCAGGGTCATGAGTTCAAGTCTCATGTTGGGCGTAGAGGCTACCTAAAAAGGCCCCATGCCTTGAAAAATGCACATGAAGATGCTTCTGTTTCCTCAGCATCAGGGAAGACGAGCCACCCTCTACCGCTCCTGGGCACTGCCTTCTACCAACCTCCCCATCCCACCTCTGATGGCATGAGGCCACTGTCATCCCCCATCCCTCCTTTGATATCATCAAGGGGGCCTCCATGGTTTGTGCACTCTGATTCAGAGTCCTATCTGAATTATTGCTCGGGTCCATTTGTTACT